GTGACTTGTTTTATTTTTCGCTACTTAGCTACAAGCTAAAGCTTGGAGCTGCCTCAGCTTCAGATGAGTTGTCACCAGGCCAAAAATGCAACCATAAAACAAGAGATCAGCCACTTTGAAACCAACTCACAGTGACTGCAGCTCCAGGCAACTTCCACTCAGCACTAATGCATTTTCTCCCTCTGAGGGTTTCACTTGGTTGGTGTAATTATATTAAAGATTTGTAATAAGGATAGCTTTGCATATTGAAAGGTATGGTAACAAATGCGGCGATTACGCAAACTTATGTCTGCCTGTCACACAGCTGTGTTTTACTCCATGTAAACACTTGTACTCTGTTACATTCAATGCAAATCACTGGCTCTAAATCCACAGCACAACATCAGGGGAAGGCGTCCACTCCATAACTCACATGACGTAGAAAACGTGAACGCTAATAAAACCCTATCACGAAGCCTTCAGCCTTTTTTTATGCACAGGTGAAGCATGATAGAAGTTTACTGTCAGTGGGTTAGTGGGACACGAACAATAAAATAATTTACATATGACCTGGATTAACTATTGAAAAAATCCTCTCTTCAGCGCAGATGCATTGTTTGCTGGAGCTGCGATGTAACATTGCTGTCACTCTCCGTTTGGTCATGTCCACAAATCAGCAGACAACAGCAAATATAACACAGACCTCATGAGCAAATAAAAAACATCCAAATTCCTGCAGCAACATGACCCGGGTGCAAACACTACGCTAGCATCAAGCTTTGATGTTGTGGCCATATTTGGAAATCCAGCAGCATTATTTGGTCTGCAGAGAACATTGGTGCTTAATCAAAGCTAATATCAAAGGATAAAATCCCAGGCTTAATCTTTTGGGGATTTAAACAAAGCTCAAACAAGAGCTGTAGAGTAAATCCAAATCTGACCACTGTGGGATTAAAGCTTTTGCTCAAGTCAAAGAGTGACCTTGGAGTTTCCGAAGTATTACTTCTCTCTTTAGCCTAAACTTCTTCTCTCAGTGAAACCCACTAAAACATGAAGAATATGAAACGATATTTGTTGCAGCCAAGTGATAACTGAACAGCCAAAGGTCATCTTTTTTTCTCCATCACACATTCCTGAAATAGAATAGAATTCAAAACTACAGGACAAAGGCAGAAACCATTTCTTGTACCCTGAGGATTAAATGGACTTAAACCAAAGTGAGACCATCGATGTCTCCACTGAGGCGCAGTGTTATGAGGTGTGCAGATGATGTTATCCCTGCTGGAAGTGTTGCATCAACTGCCAGCACCTCAGGGAACTATCACACAAGCTATGGCAAGCCTGCTGGGCCACGACAGTGTCGGAGTGCTGTGTGCCCAGCATGTAAAGGACCCTCTCCCACTTCACTGTGTTCTCCAACAGCTATTATCCGTCGCATTAATGAATGGGTCTCAGTGTTGTTCACAGAGCACAGTGGTGCAGCACATAGGGACAAACGACGAAAAAAACAACCTCTAATGGATTCACACAGCTGACAGGCACTGTTTTGAAAATAAATGCAGGATACTGTGTTATTCAGTTTAATATACTGTGCTGCATTTGCATTTTACCTATGAAACTCTTGGGTATATAACGATAACAGTAGTTGGAACGGTGCGGCACAACCCCATCAATTTTCTGTTAGCAGCTGTTATCTGATGTTAAAGGTAAAAACTGTTCAAAGATTAACTCGTTTTTTGCTTTCTTTTCTGAAGAAAACATCTTTAAATGCAGCTTGTCACTTTCTTCTTTTAACATGTGCATCAACATGGTCACTTGGAATTTCTTCTTTTAACATGTGCATCAACATGAACATCTTCTTGGTTACATCAAATGTAAGCAAAGCGGTGCAGTGGAAGACAATCCTGTTGGCTTTAGAATTCCAATAATACAAAGCCAAATATGTACTTATTATATTTGCTTGCTCTTTGATACACAAATGATGAAATGGTCAGAGGAACAGTTGAAGTTAAATAAATGAATTTGTGTTGATGTTGCAGTGTTTCGTTAGCCTTAATAATAGAGCCAGTGCTGCAGCAGGAGAGAACTGGCCCTTCATCTCCTTAGTCAAGTAATGTAAGATTACACCGTGGTTTTTATGAACTCTAAATATCTGCACTGTAACCAACAAAACTGCAGTTCTTTAAAGTATTTTCTCTCTCATGAATGTCAAAACCACTCTGGAAATAAATAATGAAAGAAAAATAAGCAGACGATTGGAAAAGTCTGTCACCGTCCCAAATCACAACTGATTCAAATCTGAATGAAGAATTCCTAAAATCCAAACTTTACTCAACCTCAACCACACTTTATTTAACAAAATAGAAGCAGGTCAAATATTGCAAAGCATATAAATGTATTTTTTGAAACACAGCATTTCTATGACAAATCATCAGTGGGCTGTGGCACAGTTATACTTCATAGTAGAGACACAGTTTTCCCCTCGTCCCCCTCGTGACAGGAGAGGAGGGTAAGGTAGAGGTGGGCAGGGGTAGAGAGGATTGGAGGGGGGGTTAGGGCGGCCGAGCAGACAGGACAGAAATGCACAGATCGCTGTTGTTTTCTATTTTTATCCTTTCCACTGATATGCTTAGATGTTAGTCCCAAAAGTCAATTTCTGATACTGTTAAATACCTTGAGGGAGGGAGGAGCGGCAAGGAAAGTAAGGAGGGATTGTGCACAAACATGCACACAGTCATGCAACCTCTCGCCCTGAATCTGTCTGTCTTCTCTCACTTGGTGGGGTTCAAAGGTCGACACATTTTAAGCACGTCCAACAAAGTCAGGGGTCACAGGACTAGTAGAAAGAGAAAGCAACAGTTGGGGTGATTCAGCACCACGGACAGCACTAATCTACATATTGTCGAGAAGATAAGATTTATGTTGGCTAAATGAAGGTAAAATAAGGCATAGTTAGAATTTTAGCAATGGAAAGAAATAATATTTGTCCATAAATGCTAAAAGCACTGGGGTTTTACACTACAATGTGAAAAGAAAATGCAGATTGCACATTACTCACATCCCCTTCTGTACTGTTTTTTTTTTAGATTCTATGAGTATGTTTGCAGTTATTTTTATTATTATTTTGTTACTCTAGGTTTAGGCTAAAGCAGCAGTTTAAAAACAATACTTCAATGTATCAAATGCTTTTTATAACCTCCCCCCATAGCCAGGTGACCCACATCCCCACCCTCCATCTGAAACATAGCCTCTCCAACTTCTGATGTTAAATTTATAAAAGGCCTCTATTATTAAAATTTACATCCTTCTAAGTTTCTGTGTGTGTCTTAACATGTGTGTGTTCTGTGCCTCACCTCGATCGTCTACGTGTTCCAACCTCTCCCTTCTGTCCGTGACAGCCTATTTCAAGCATGTTCTGTAAATACAGTGAGTGTAGTTTGTCTTATTTGGACACAGTAAGATGGCTTTACAAAAGCTCACAATATGATGAAAGTGACTCGTAGCCATAAGCTTTGTTTGTATGTGGAGGAACACTTTTTTTTCTGACATAAAAAAGGATTCTAGTCTACACTGGCCTACCTGCACTGCTTACATAGAACGAATTATACCTACATAGCTCAATTGAAAACACCTTTTTACTCAGTTGTTGAAAAAATATGATGGTATAAACCCCCCATTTTAAATTACTTGTGTTTTTTTTTTTAATTCCCTCTCACCCGTAGCAGGCTATAGTCATTGACACACAAAACCACAGAACTGTTATTTTAGCTACATTAACTCTGCAGCATAAGCATCTGAGTGACGTTAATTGGTCATGCTCATCTGCATGTCTTATTATCTGAAAGTCAACAATTGGCACACCATAAAATAACACAGTTACATTCATTAAGGAGATGAGGACTGCGCAGACGTAGGCTTTAATCTGCACCATCTAGTACGGTATAAATAATCCCAATATTTATCAACAATCAAATGATAAACAGAAAGTAACATGCACTGGCTGACAGCGTCACTTCCATTGCTTCTTTCCAATAATGTCCTCATTATCCGATGTGTTTTTTTTTCTTCTTGTCTCCATACAAGTTGAAAACAACAAATACAAATCCTAACTGGAGGTTCACAAAAAATAGAGAAATGGCACTTTGTAATAGTCATACATAATTTCTTAATATCTATATACACAGTCGTCATATTGGTATTACATGAGAAGGTCGAGTTTTGCGTCTTAGTAGTTAATGGTGATTATGATTCCTCCTGGTCGTCGTTGTGTTTGTTTGTGTGTATGCGTGTGTGTGTCTGGGCATGTGTGTCTAAACCATGCGAAATATCTTCATGCAGATTATGTTACATCATCGGTCCCAGTATTTACATTTACATTCATGCGTTCGTGCACCATTCGCCGGGGTCCTCTGTCTCACCCTCCCTCGTTCTCGCACACGCACGCCCTCTCCCTCCCTCTTTTCTGTCTCACTTAGTCCGATTGCGGCAAATAGCAGAACTGGGAGGAGGAGGTGTAGAGGGAGGGAGGGGTCTAGGCCAAGGGAAATCTTGGCTTATCCTTATTTTACAGAGTCGGACTTGTGCAGCAGCAGGCTGACATACACGCTACAGCTTGAGAAAAAAATAAGACACAATGTCTGTGATGAATAAAAGCGTGTGATTCTTGCTGTTAGTCATTTGTCAGCGCGTCTGTCCACTGTGACTGTTTGTAATCCAAAGCCCCCCCCCCCCTCCACACACACACCCACTTTTACCCCTCATTTTCTGAGGGGGGGGGGGGGGGGCG